GAATAGAATAGAATAGAATAGAATAGAATAGAATAGAACAGAATGCAAAATAGAATAGAATGCAGAATCGAATGCAGAATCGAATGCAGAATCGAATAGAATGTAGAATAGAATATAGAGTAGAGTAGAGTAGAATAGAATAGAATAGAATAGAATAGAATAGAATAGAATAGAATAATTCTTTATTGGCCAAGTGTGATTGTACCCACAAAGAATTTGTCTCCGGTGCAGAAACTCTCGGTGTACATAAAAAATACATTCACCAAGAATCATAAGATGCCAGACTTAGTGATAGCCATAGGACACTTACGAAAGCGCACGGAGGGCCCAGCGCTCTCTGCCCTTATGGAATAACAGGCCTTCATTTCAAAGGATCCAAGTGGGAGGAGGCCTTGTCTGAAGTTGTCTTCCAATATTTACAGCTGGTCCTCAGCTCTAAACAGTTTATTTAGTGACTGTTCAGAGTTACAACGGCACTGAAAAAAGTGACTTATGACTGTTTTCACACTTAACGACCATTGCAGCAAGCCTAAGGGTCACGTGATCAAAATTAAGATGTTTGGCGACTGACTCTTATTTATGACACTTTCATTGTCCTGGGATCATGTGATCACGTTTTGCGGTTTTCTGACAAGCAAAGTCAGATTCCGTTAACAACCATGTCACTAACTTAACAATTTGCGGTGAGTCACTGAACAACTGTGGCAAGAAAGGTCATAAAACAGGACAAAATTCACTTAACCAATGTCTTGCTTAGCAACAAAAATGTTGGATTCAATTGTGGTCGTAAGTCGAGGACTACCTGTACTTGTTCATTCAGTTTATATGGCTGCCCATCTGCAATGCAATCCTTAAAAGTGTAGATAAAAACAACAAAAGAAAACCAGAAATACCATATATTGCTGAGAAAAACCACACAACAGTTAACCCAGCCATGATATAGATTTATCTACACATCCAAAGCTGGTCTTCAAGGGCCTTACAAAAGACCAGCAAGGGGCACAATCTGATGTTTGGAGGAAGGATGTCCCAGAAAGTCCCAAGGATTGGGGCTCCCACCCACCCAAAAAAAACCCCACTCTATTCCTGAGCCCTACCAAATGACAGCAATCATACTGGCTGGGGAAATCTGGGAGTTGAAGTCCATATGTCTTAAAGTTGCAAACCTGGGGAAAGATTGCCTTAGACCAGGGGTGGGCAACTATGGCCCTTTTATGAATTATGGACTTCAACTCCCAGAATTCCTGAGCAAGCCATGCTAGCTCAGGAATTTTGGGCGTTGAAGTCCACAAGTCATAAAAGGGCCACAGTTGCCCACCTCTGCCTTAGACCAGGGGTCTTCAAACTTGACTGCTTTAAGACTTGTGGACTTCAACTCCCAGGATTCCTGAGCTAACATGACTGGAGGAGGAATTCTGGGAGTTGAAGTCCACAAGTCTTAAAGCTGTCAAGTTTGAAGACCTCTGCCTTAGACTTTACAGAATTTGAAACCACCCCTTTCATCCATCACCCCCTGAACTAACCCCATGGAAATCTGAGCTAGCTTAGGAGTGCAACACAGGCCTAAAATTCCCACTCCATACCCCCTCCAAAATATACAAAGGGGAGACCACCAATCGTGGATTATTGTCCCCTTTTTATGCATTTCCAACTTTTTGTCCAATGACCCTGAACCAGAACAGTGTGCCGATGTCTCTTTTGGCCAATTGGATCTACCAATTTGGAATCGGCAACTCTGAAGCCAGTGAGAAGAAAAGCAAGACTGATGCCTCTTTTTCCTTTTTTCCTAGGTGAAGTTCGTAGAAGAGAAATTCAACGAAAAGGAAAAATCCTGGATTGTGCTCGCTTGCATAGGAGCCATGTCAGGAGTTGGGCGGCTGGTCTCCGGACCCATCAGTGATCTCATCCCTGGGTTGAAGAAGATCTATTTGCAGGCAGGAGACAAGGGCTTGCTTCAAATTCAGGCTTATTGATTGCTTTGCACTTCCTGCAGAGTGTTTCATCTTTGTGTGAGACATTCTCTATTGTCCACATGTGTTCATGGGGAGAGAAATGACTTAAGGGGGCTGGAGGGAAAACATGAACGGTGGCAGGAATTGGGTAGGCTTAGCCTAATGGAAAAAAATATAATGAAAGCTATTATATAATAATTATATAATAAAACATATACCAAATATATATTAATAAATAAATATATAATAAAATTATACTTATTAATAATTATAATTATAATATAATATAAAATAATAATAATATTTATGAATAATGAATAAATATAATACAATTATAGAATAATAAATAGGGACACAGTGGTTCAGTGGCTAAGACGCTGAGTTTGTCAATCAGAAAGGTTGGCAGTTCGGCGGTTCGAATCCCTAGCACCACTTCATGGAGTGAGCTCCTGTTCCTTGTCCCAGCTTCTGCCAACCTAGCAGTTCGAAAGCACGTTAAAAAAAAAATGTAAGTAGAAAAATAGGGACCCCTTTGGTGGGAAGGTAACAGTGTTCTGTGTGCCTTTGAAGGCATTTAGTCATGCCGGCCACATGACCACGGAGACGTCTTCGGACAGCGCTGGCTCTTTGGCTTTGTAACGGAGATGAGCACCGCCCGCTAGAGCCAGAAACGACTAGCACGGATGTGCCAGGGGAACCTTTACCTTTAGCCTAATGAAAAGAAGGTCCAGTTGGTGAATCCAGAAAATAGAACTCCTGGGACATTATTTTACTAGGAGTATAAAACTTTACTGATTAAACCACATTGGCATAGAAGAAGCGAAACCAGCTCTGGGTTTCTCACACAAAAGGAAGCCTAGTTAATTCCCCCTCTTCTCAAGGGCCAGCCACAGTCCAATGCGTCCACCAATCACTCCTGTTTATTCTGTTGTGGAAACAGGAAACTGGGACATCTGCTTGGTGTGTCCTTGGGATGCCAACAATGTCCCAGGTGCCGATGGATGCTTGAATAACATTCGCCCTCCCTTGCCTTCAACCTCCCCTCCCTCTTATTGTCCAGCTATGAGCGAAGGAAAAATGTAGGTGAAAGTGTGAATCAGTTTTGCCAGGACCCCTGAGAAAGTCCTAGACTTCACCTGAAAGACCAGTTATAATAAATGTGTAGTGAGACAAAAGTGCAACTATACGATTGTCATATTCACCCATGTTCATACAGAGTGGTAAGATGGACAGCCAATAAAGGTTATAAATAAATAATAAAATACGTGCATAAGCATACATAGTCTAGTTGGATTTGCCAATATTACCCAATATTGTGGTAATATTATTTTGGTAGCCTGTTTTCTCACTGGCATAGAAAGGGAGAAAAGATTGACAGTTGGATTGTCCAATAGGCTACTCTGCACATCAACCAATCCGAGTAGAGATGGTGGATTTATTCATTCAGAAGCACTGCAGAGGAGTGATTAAGAGTCATGATAGACCTCATTGGGTGACTGTCTACTCAACCCACCTCATGGGACTCTTGCAGAAGTAAAGTTAGAGAGATGTTCTCTCCATCTACGTCTTCTTGAACGCTCAGAGAGAAGGAAGATAGGAAAGCAATAAAAGTAGCTGTGGAGTAGAGACCAGGCATGGTGACCAGAAGATCCTTTCAGTGCTCAGGCATACTGCATTGTTTTTCATGTGGGTACATAGAAACAGAGAACTTCTTCAAATTAGCTGGTTCTCACAATTTCCCAGTTATACTGTCCATTGTACCATAAATAACCAAATATCATTGGCAAAGAAATTTAATTAAGCTGAGCATGCAGTGCTATACAAGAGCCAGTCGGGTGTTTGCTTAAGGTGTTAGTCTACATATGCATTCTAGCCCAGTCCTAGCCAGAGGGACAGTTGGGTGGTCTTGGGTCAGTCCCTCTCTCAGCAAAGATGAACCATATTTGAAAAACCTTGAGAAGAACACTGCAAGAGTTTGTCCAGGCAGTCTCTAAGAATCAGACATGATTAAATGGAAGAAAAAAGTGGGATTATGTAGCTCTTCAGCCAGAGGTGGGATTCAGCAGGTTCTGACCAGTTCTGGAGAACCGGTAACGGAAATTTTGAGTAGTTCAGAGAACCGGCAAATCCTACCTCTGACTGGAGATTTTACAGTATCCTTCTCCTGCCACACCCACCAAGCCACGCCCACAGAACCAATAGTAAAAAAAATGGAATCCCACCACCGTCTTCAACCAACTTAAGGATGCATATCGACATGTGATACCACAATATTTTTACAGGCCCAGCAGAAATGGTCTGATTCCAAACTATCTATTAGTTCATGTAGCTGAGGACTTGTGTGGCCTCAACTCCCAAAGTCAGGTCTGAGCTTGGGATGTTCTGTAGGCTGTCCATAGTGGGAGTCTTTCCTGTTAGCTGGAAGAAGCATCTTATTTTATGTAATTTGTTTTAAAAAAAAATCAGTAGAAATATGCCGTTTGTGAACATTATAAAAGTCTGAAGGGAAAAATTAGCCTTCCCAAACTCCAGCCTCGGCCAAGAGCTGACTTTCCATTCATTGCCAAGGACAGTGTGTTGTAAAGTTGGAAGCATGGCAGAAATTTGAGATGATTTAAATAGAGAAAAATATATTTAATGGATGGAAACAACTCTTTAAGAATCCCTATAATGGGGTTAGCACACAAGCACTTTGCTAAGAGCAAGGGGATGGCAGAAGAGTTGCTATCACCTTCCAACTTTCTCCTCTTGGTTGCTTCCAGAAACTTCGCCTTCTTTGAAATGTAGCCTTATCTGAGCATCTCGGATATCTAAAGCACATTGTCTTTGAATGCCTTGGGGCCTGAGACATTCAAAGTCCTCCAGTTGTCAAATCATAAGCAAGACCTCTTGGCTAATTTTCTACCAAGGAGAGGGAGGCCCTTTGGGAAAAACAGAAGAGAAAATGGAGAAACTGGGCAACCAATGAGACATGGGAAGGAGGGGAGATGTTCAGGGGCCGCTTAGGAATGGAAGAGCGAACTAAACCAAAGTGGAAGACAATATTTATAATCTTACAAAGAAGTTTAATCATCTTGGCATAGCCACACACAGAATCTAGACTCAAAGTGAGTTTTCAACCTATTGGTTGCCCAGCCAACTTTCAGGTAGAATTGAGCATCCATAAAAAGATTTGGGGGATCCTGCACACCCACCCACCTCCTGATTAGAAAGTCTGGAAAGTGGTCCATGATCTCTAAACATAGTCTGTGGATATAGCCCAAGGCAGCAGTCGCCAACTGGTGGGCCGCGAGAAAAATTTGATGGGCCGCAAAGAAATCGCACCCTCCCAAAGCAATTAATCCAGGATGCACAGAAACACAAGGCTGTGCTGCCCACATGGCCCGTGGGAACCCTCCCCGCCCACTCACTCCTTACCCAGCAAACTTGCCTGCTAAATTGCTATTTTTCCTTTTTTCCCCCGACCATCCGCTGTTCTGCTGTACTGGGAAATTTAGATTAGCTAGGAAGCAGGAAATGGTTGGATTTCTTGCTTTCTAGCTCGTCTTTAGATCTTCGGCTCTGCTCTTAAGCACAGCCGAACCTTCCTTAGGACTGAAGGTTCTATTATTCAGTGCAGACTCACGGCAAGCAAATTTGAGAGACTGAGCTAGCTGATGGCAGATAGATAGATCACTGAATGATTCTGTGAGCAACTCAATCTGTCTGCCTGCCTTGCTTGATTTTGGTTAAAAGTTGCTCTTTTTTATTAAAAAAATCAATTTATATAAATATTTATATTTACATACAAGCCATGCCCAGCCAGTCACATGACCACCAAGCCACACCCACAAATTAGGCCACGCCCACAGAACCGGTTAGTGGTCCCTGGGATTTAAAATTATGAGTTTGGTGGTTCCTGAGGTTCAAAAGATTGGTGACCCCTGGCCCAAGGTTCTCCTTAACCAGAGATGGGGGAGACCTTTTGTTTGTTTGTTTGTTTGTTTAATTGAAGATGGTAAGATTTCTGCAACAACCTGAAGTAGCATTTGCAGAATGTCAGTGTTCAATTTAAAAATAAATATTGATGAAAGGGTGAAATTTCAGTGACTTCAGCCGGTAAGAGTATCAGAATCCCACATGTTCTCAAGCAAGAATGACAAACTGTTGCATTTTCACATGAGATGATGTCAGAAATCTTGTGAGTTTGAATACTTGCATGAGGGAGGGAGAGAGAAAGAGAGAGAGAAATCACTTCCCCCACCACTTATGAAGTGTGCCACTCACTGGTACTCTCAGCCCCCCTTGCTTAGGGAATTCCTCCACATTTGTCTTGGTTGTCTAAACAGCTTCATTATTTTTACTCCTCAGGTTGCGTCCTTCATCACCTTGGGTATCATGTGCATGATGTTGCTACAGTGCCAAGCATTTTCAGGGGTGATTGTTGTCTGCCTCTTCCTTGGACTCTGTGAAGGACTCTTCATCACCATTATGGCCCCCATTGCCTTTGAGCTGGTTGGGCCCATGGAAGCTTCTCAAGCCATTGGCTATCTCTTAGGACTCATGGCCATTCCCATGTCAGCTGGGCCACCAATTGCAGGTGAGCAAATTCTCTAGCTTGAAGATTTGGGAAGGAAGCTGTTTCCAATATGTCTAAAAAGTCCTTATCCAAGCAAGGTATGAAGAGTTGGTAGAGGAGGGACATGTCATAGTCCACGATCTGTAGGTTCTTTGACTTGGCCAGCCATCAGTAGCTCAATCAACTCATTGCACTAAGTATAACACTGTCCTAAATGACAAACAGACAAATATGTATTGGGGCTTGAATAAACCATAAGTATACTGTGGCTTATCTATTCTGGGTTTCCATTTGCCTAGATAGCATGCCTCTTGAAGGCCCAACAGTAATGGTGGTTGTTTGAAGAGCTGAGGTGGCATAGTGATTTGAATGCAGTAGTGCAGGCTATTTCTGCTGACTGCTGGCTGCCAGCAGTTCAGCAGTTTGATCCTGACTGGCTCAAGGTTGATTCAGCCTTCCATCCTTCCGAGGTGGGTCAAATGAAGACCCAGATTGTTGGGGGACAATATGCTGATTCTGTAAAACTGCTTAGAGAGGGCTGTAAAGCCCTGTGAAGCGATATATAAGTCTAAGGGCTGTTGCTATTACTTCTTTTGGCTTATCATCATGCAAACCAGTTCTCCGCATACTGTGATTTCAGATGTTAATTTTCCATAGCTTGTTACTCCAGTTCTCCTGTCAAGTCCTAGGCAAATTTTCTTGGTGACATTGGTATGATAGCCAGATTGAGCCAGTATCCCAGAATGCTTTCTTCTAAATCACTATCCTCCAGATACGTCAGATTCTCTGGGATTTCTCCATACTTAAAGAAGTTGATGAGGTGCTGTGAACCCATTTCACGGGTTCTTAGTTGCAAGAAGAAGCAGGAAATGCAGTCTGGGTGCTCTTTTTCACTTTGAAGTAGCTCTATTTGAAAAGAAGTGGTAGGAGAGTCCAGAAGAAAACTTAATTTGACTGCATTTCATTTTTCAAAATTAGTTGTCATCAAAGTTTTCCTTCTCCAGAAGACACCAGAATGTAAACTGACAGCAAACAGCACCCCTTACTAGCACCGATGATATTACCTCCCATAGTTAGGGTAATGAAACATCTGCAAGAAAGCGAAGAAGCTCCGAGAGCACCAAGGACCCCCCAATTCCTAGTCATTTATAATTGTTAGCAAAACATCTAAAAGTGAGCTTGGAATGCATCATCCCACCAGGCAAGAGAAGTAGTTGTAAATGAATTATTCATCTCTTGGACTAACACTAACCACCATCAAATTCTTTCTGCTTCAATGTCTATAAGAAAAACATCTAAAAACCTGTAGTGGGGTTCATAAGTGGTAATAAGTAATGTTGTTGTCCACTGGCTGGATTTTGAAGTGTTTGAAATAAATACTTTTTTTAATTCAGCAACTATCAGCAGGCTCACATTATTTTACTGCTTAGAAAATAGCCAAATGTTGCTCAATAAAGCCTCATTTTCCCAGATTAAAAAGATCAAAAGACAGTACAAGAAGTGCTGCAGCTGGAAAATTCTTGGCCAGTTGTTGGTACCTCTTCTTCTGGGAATAATTTGTACTCTTTAAAAACCAGACTTCCTCCTCCCCAACCGGTCATCTGAATTTGGTATAAGTAACATTTAGCAATATTTTTATTAAAGCCCATTAAAAGCAAAATTGAAAGACTTTACAAGGGTCAGAACTGCTCAATGCTATGAACGATAACAAAAAAACCATTTAGTTCATTTAGCCTCCAGTTAAAATGAGGGCATATTTTGCAAAGGGATCAAGGAGTCGATGGCAAATTGTCACCCTCTGTCAGATTTTATATCAGAACCAGCAATAATTTTCCTTTCTCCTGAAACCTGACCTCTCACCCAGTGGCTCACCGTAGAAAATTCAGAAGTTGCTTTTATTGTAAATAAGACAGAAGCGATTATCAGCCATCTTTGGAACCACAGGAATTAAGCCCTTTGTGTAAATGTGTGTTAGGTCCAAGTTTTAAGTCCCAGGCCTTTTCCATCCACCTTTCTGAATCAATGGATTCTTAGCTGTTCTTTTCCTTACTTGACACTGTTATGTCTGACTTTTCCCCCCATCCTGCCATCTTCAGCCTTTCCAGGAAGAATGAAGAAGGCTTAAAAGCAGGGCCATTTAGCTGTGAAGATCAGAAAAGAGTTTTTTTCCAGAGGTCATGAAATGCCGCTTGATATATTTTAATGCAGCCTTTCCTATATGTGGGACTACAACCTCCATCCCTCAGCCAGCTGAGTCAGTGGATGTATCATCTGATCAAGAGGATTGTTGTAGTCTAGCAGCACATGTCAGAAGTCAAAAGGATGGAAAGAGCTGCTCTTAGAGCAGTTCCAGGAAGGCTCCACACCCCCTTGCACTATTCAGGTGACCCCCGAGGGCACAGAGAAATCCCCAAGTGCCCTCAACCACTCTCAGAGAGGGTGCTAATGACCAGATGACTGCAAGAAATATAAATCCTTCCATTGCCCCACCATCATTGTCAGAACTGAAGAAGCTTCTTAGATGAGAAGCAAAACTCCTTCAAGGAAAAACAAAGTCCAGGTGCCTCTTTAAAAAGCACCTTTGGGACAGCCATACCTAGATGACTGAGAAACTCCATAGGGGCAAAAGTTCTTGCTTGATCTGGCCAACATCCTTTTAGCTTGGCCCTTGTAGCGGAGAGCTGCCATGAGGATAGAATCCTGGTTTCTCAGTTTGAATTTTAAATCCAAATAGTTATTGAAGTCCAGAATTCTGTTTTCTTTTCCCTCTGTGCCTTGATCCTTCATTGGGCATTAAAAATGGTTAATGAAGTTGCGAACATCCCATAAACCAAGGGCAGAAGCCCTCTCCAACTTCACTTTCCATTGTATGTCACCTGCTTTTCTTCTTTTTTTTAGGACTCCTTCATGATCATTTTGGAAATTACCAGCTTGCCTTCTACTTTGCTGGAGTTCCTCCAATAATTGGAGGTCTCATTCTTGCGTGTGTTCCCTTCATCCATTGGTGTCAGCTCAAGAAGAAGCCACTGGATTCGGGGAAAGACAAGATGTTGGGGTCAGAGATGGTCGCAAACGGAGAGCTCCTCCCAGGTTCTCCAGCCACAGACGGAGCTACGGTGTAAACTCTGGCTCGGTCGCCCATCCTGTCACCAGCTGCATTTTCTGACCCCAACCCCCATCTCAGCCGAGATCTTTCAAAAGAAGGACTTCACCTCTTGTGCGATACCGGAAAACCACTCTGTTGGTCGGTCCTGATCAAATTCTTGGCTTTCGAGTTGAATTTGAGTTTCCTTCGCCTCTTTCTTTCCTACCGAATGTTCTCATTGTCCCCACATTTATGTCCCAGGGCTGGAAAAGCTTTTGTTTTTTTTCCCCAGTTAGCACATTAGTGGATAATGCATAGATGACTGTGATAGCGTTTTAATCGATTGTGTTGGACCACTTCCTCTCTCCTTTCCCTCAAAAGGGATTCTGTAGCCATACTTAGTTATTTTGTTGACAGTGAGCTTAAATTCGCTGGAAACTCCATTCGGAGCGAATTGTGAAGCTGCCAAATTCTCAGAAGTAGATCCAGGGGTCTCCAACCTTGGCAACTTTAAGGCTTGTGGACTTCAGCTCC